TGCCGACAGACAGAGCTGACTGCAAATAGTTGATGGTAAAGTTTTAAACAAAGAGCTTGAGCAATCTTCTTGTACTCTTTAAGTGTGTTTGGGATCAGGCTCAGCTACTACCACACCAAATTTTAGCTCAAAATCATCTAAATTGACTGAGTTATAGCCTTTATTTTTTAATTGCGAGTCGGGTGCAGCCTTTCATCGTCTTCATGATGCATCCTGCATTATATCCTATAAATGAACACCAATGTCCATGTTCATATACAATCCGCCTCTTATACCGAGCCACAATGAAGCCTTTCCCTTTTGCTTCTGCTGCTTTGCTACTTGTGTCATTATGTTCAATTTTCAAGCACAGTGTAATTTGCTGGTTGTGACCCTCGGAGTATTTCCTCTTATCTTCTGTATCTGGAGCCTAAAGTTTGAAGGAAGCTGAAATGCTGTTGCTTTTTCCATTAAGGTAAAAAGCTGCAATCTGAAGGGATTCCCCAGCGAGAACAGACAGACCACCGTGGAGAGCTGCTGCTTTCAAGGGGTCTCTGAACTCCACGGCTGCCGGAGTCACTCAGTCATCACAGATCACACACACACACACACACTTCAGCCGTCTTGAGCTTTAAACATTTTCTGTGCCTTTCTGAAGTGAGAACCCTAAAGACTTTCCAGAGTTCATCTAATCCGCGTGAAAATAAACACACAAAAGGATGCACCCCCACCCCTGTGAAAAGGCCGACCCATCAACCTTCACGGTCTGAGACAGACGAAGTTCAGTAAAGACTCTAAACTGCACATCCTGTCTGACTACTGCACTGTAAAAAAAAAAACAGGATTGTAAACAGTAAAAGGTACTCATTAGAATGTCAAGAAGACCACTCCTAAAAGTCACCAAGCAGAAAACAAAATACACATTTCTTTCTCGTATTGTGGATTACTGTGTCTCCAAGTTACATAAATGAATAGTTGTCACCACGTGTGTTTGCTCACCAGTGAACATCAGTCAGCAATAATGATGTCCACTGATGAGCCGTGTGGGATGAAGAAGTCGGACAGTTTTAAAGTATTTGTACGTATGTACGCTCAAATTTATTGAGTAAAGTATACAGTTGGGATCCGACAGTGGTTTTACTCGTCTTTCCTCTTTTCTTTCTCTCCCACGTGGTTTTCTGCAGATTCTGCCGAGCGCTTTGTTTACATTGAGCGCGTACCTGCATTACAGAAAAGCATATCGATCTGAAAACCTACTCCAAAGTTCATGCTCGATAATCCAGGTAAAAATCCAACAATGTTCACTCAGGTGTTTTGAATCACTTTGGCATGACTGTCTCAGAGAAGTTAGCGGGGGAGAGGGTGGGTCCCGGAGGCCATCTTAGCACCAGCAAACTGTTTTGTTCCACTGTGGAGTATGCTGTTTGTGGGAATCAGTTTTGTTTGGTGGCTCCTCAGACTGAAGAAGTCCTTTGGATGAAGGATGAAACGTCTCAGCAAAAAAAGAAACCGTCCAGATGACTTGACTACTGCAGTAAACTCTTGAATATATCAAAGTTCATGCTCAATAATCCAGGTTTAAAAAAAATCCAACATAAATCAGTCAGGTAATCTGGATGGTTTCTTTTTTGTTTGTTGAGACGTTTCATCCTTCATCCAAAGGACTTCATCAGTCTGAGGAGCCACAATGAGTCCCACAAGCAGCACACCTACATAGTGGACCAGCCAGACTGATGAAGTCTTTTGGATGAAGGACGAAACATCTCAACAAAAAAAGAAACCGTCCAGATGACCTGACTGAACTTTGTTGGAATAGTTCATATAGTTTAGGATGATTTTTTTACTTTTTGTTTAATAGTTTCAAATGAGTACCTTTAAATATTACCCATGAGTATTTTTAGTGACTCACTGTACAAAAATGGTCAAATTTGAGCTTCACTGACTATTTACTTTCAGTACATCTTGATTAAAATTTTACCGAAGACACCGGTACTCAACGTTCATGTGAACAGTTAGCTTCTGGTCAACAGTTTATTCGTCTCCTGCGAAGTAAAACCGAACAATAAGTCTCTATCTTTACGGGTTGAAACAACAGATAACTTAGTGAAAGTTAAAGGAACTCTAATAAAACTTGTAGCTGGAAAAGTTGTTGTTTTATGAGCCTTTGTGTTTATATTTTCAACGTCTGAATGAGGTGCTTATGTAGCTGCCTAGCTAGCCTAGCATTAGCCGAGTTTATCCACAAACCACAGACTTATGACTGATCTTTTTTTTTCCATCCACTATTGTTAATTTCCCATTAACGCAATTATTTTGGTAGAAATATTAATAAATTCCTGGATATTTGTTAATGAGCTGCATGTTGTGTGTATTTCAATGTATTTCATTTGAATAAATGAACATTATTTAGTATAAATATAGTCTCTTATGGCTAAACAATAATGAAATATTCATGCAAACCGTTATAATTTCACTACCATACATTTGTTTACAATGGATTTGAATTTACAGAACATAAGTGAGTAATATGTTAAAAGCTGTGCAATTTATTTGACTAAAAAGACGCACAAATTAAATAAAACTTAATTTTTTTTAATAAGTTTCAAGTATAAACAATTTGTAAGAATTTATTTAGTCCACTGGAGTCGAAAAATAGGAAAAATTAGTTTAAGCTTCAAAAATTTGAGAAATTACATGTGTAAAAATTGGTTAAATTTGAATTAAATTGTGTGATTTAGTTGATGGACATTTAGGTAAAATTCACCAAAAAATATTGTTTATAGTCAGCCAAAATAAAAAAACAGCAAAGTTTTACACCAATTTTATTGGTTGAATTCCCACGGTTTGTGCAGCATTATGGCACAGTTGGTAGAGCTATTGCCTCTCAGCAAGAAGGTTGCTAGATCAAATCCCGACCGGGGGCCTTTCTGGGTGGAGTTTGCATGTTCTCTCGGTGCATGCGTGGGTTTTCTCCGGTTTCCTCCCACAGGCCATAAACATGCGTGTTAGGCTGATTGGTAACTCTAAATTATCCCTATGTGTGAGTGAGAGAGTGAAAGGTTGTTTGTCTCGTTTGTCTCTATGTGTCCCTGTGATGGACTGGAGACCTGTCCAGGGTGTCCCCACCTCTTGCACAGTGACTGCTGGGTATAGGCACCAGTGACCCCCACGACCCAAAAAGGAAGACGTAGATAAAAGATAATGGATGGATCCTTGCATCTGTGATAAATCAGGCAGCAAACTGATCTATCCCCACCACATGCACAGATGAGAGAACAATAATTGCTCTGCTCAGGGTGTTCCTGCTAATAAGCCTCATTTTTACCAGGATGTGCCGAGGGCGAGACGCACGGTGGGACGTCCAGTAAATACAAGAAACACGATCCGTAGAGCCCGAGTCGACATACAATCCTCACAAACCAGCCAGCGAGAGTTGTCTGAAAGCACTAACAGTTTTTGAGCAGCATCCAACAGGACTTTTGACATTATCTCCTTTACACGGGGAAAACTTGGATCTAACAAAGTGCTTTGACTGTAGAGGACAAGCCTGGACAAGAACAGGAGCTACCGAGCCCCCACTTTTTTAAGAAGAAAATTAATGTCAAGTTAAAGTGATGATAAAATTAGGGGCTTTTTAAAGCGCTGCTCCTGGATTTAACGTGCATTTAAACACTACTCAAACTGTAATTTGTTCATAAAATGCATGATTTATTATTTCTTTGTCGTGAACAATCTTACTGGCTCCTGCTGTGCGTCTGAGAGGAGTCTCTGTGGGAAACAGGCTTAGATGGCTTGAAGCAATTTTTTCATGAGTGCCTTTTTTTAAATTTTTTTAGATAAAGTCTCTGCAGGGCCCCACATGCAAACATCATCTGCAAACACACAGTGTTTACCAACATGTAGCAAACGTTAGATGCACTTTTTAGATCTGTTCTTTTATAAACCGGAGGATTCTCAGCTACTACCACACCAATTTTTATCTGTATCTGTAAAAACAACGGAATTATAGTCATGTTTGTGCTTGCTTAAGTTGATCAACTGTGACGGCCATCTTGAATCGGATAGTCTCCAAAAGTTAATTAGCTGACAACGTGCAACCAGTGACGACTATCTAACAGTTTCATTCAAATCAGCCCAGCGGTTCAAGAGATATTTTGCTAACAGACAGAGTTGGCTAAGTCTCATAATAAACACCTGAGATATAGGTCATTTTTGTAGCTGTTAAGTTGATTAGTTGTGGTGGCCATCTTGGATCAAAAAATAACTTTGAGCGTTTCAATAATTACATCCACTGGTATAATAAATATTTTGCTAACAGAGACAAAATGGTCACACAGACGCATATATTATTGCATGCCTTTCATGATAGTGTGCGCTAAATCCAAATTTTCTTTAAAAATTGTCAAGATTGTGGCTAAATTGGCATATTTGGCTGAAATACATCCACATTCCCTAAACCCATTCAATTGCCATAAAAACAATAGGGCACCATTTTAAGGGAAAATGTAATATTTATAGTCATTTTTCCATATTTTTAAAATAATCTATTTTTGACTTGGCAAGGAAAAGTCTATTCTAGAAAACCAAGGCAATGTTCTCTGTATTAAACTAGAAAAACACTAGATCCTGTAAAAGTTGTCTCAACTTTCCTCAAAAGGTCTAAATAAAATCCAGCCTGTCAGTACAGTAGTTGATGTAAAATCGTTTAATCTCTGATGATAAAAATCAAGGGCGGGATTGAGGGAGTGAAAGGGCCGCTTGTGGCCCGCGGGCCACACGTTGCCCGTGTGTGACTTGAGACCAGATGTGTCTCCTGCTGTCTCCACGGACAACAATGGAAAGACAAACAGAGCACCAGGCAGCGGAGCCTGGTGATGTGGGACATCTGGCTCTGAGGACAGGAGCGGAAGTCCTCTGGGAACAATGGAGTGCTGAACTGGGCGGCAGGACTTTTCACAACATATTTTACTGGCAACAAGAGCGCGAACGGAGACGAGAGGAAGTGAATAAATGACACGTACTGTGGCCAACAGAAGCGCGCAGATGAGCATCGACCTCATGTCTCCAGAGCAGCTCCTCAGGTCCAGAAGAGACACGAACAACTCGCCTCCTGTCTTCAAGCTCCGCTTCTCGTGAAAAGCGCTGGTTCCGTCGGTCCTCCGCGGAGTTCTGGCGCTTTTACGCACAAGAAGCGCGTCTCCAAGTGCGCGCAGGGTCCGAGCGCAGAGGACAGTGAGGTCCCTGTGTGTGCAGGAGTGTGCGCGATGGGAGCTGCAGCTGCCTCTCCTGCAGCTCTGCCACAGATGAAGCAAGCTTCTCCTCCTCGCCCGTTTCTCCTCCCACCTCCTCAGCCATGAGCAGGAGCCGTGATTGGCTGCAGGAGAACTCCGTCTGAAAAGTTGCTCTTTACAAGTACAGTCACGTGCAAACGCTTTAAACCATTAACAGTAAATGTTTAATAAAAATAATAACGTTTTTGTTTAACTTTTACGTTTGTCTCATTAACTACACAGAGATATTTTCAATTTCTTAAAAACATTGTTTTTGGAATCCCCTTCAGCAGACTGGCTCTAATGTTTTTAGCTTTCAGCTACCATTCTGCTACTGTTAGCTAGCCTGTTGATACATGTAGCATTTTGACACTTTTAGCTTTAAGGTAACCTTTTCCTACTTCAAGCTTTCAGCTAGCATTTTACTTTTAGCCTTTAGCACTCCATTTGCCATTGGTGTCTTTCAACTAGCCTTTTGCTACTTTTAACTTTCAGTTAATCTTTTGCTGGTTTTAATTAGCATTTTGCTAGTTATTTCTGCTTTTACCTGGACTTTGATATTTTTTAGTTTTTATCATTATCCATTCATCATTTTATCAATCAATCATTTTATCATCTAGCGTTCTGCTACTCTTAGCATTTAGCCTTTTCTTACTTGTAGCTTTTAGTTAGCCTTTTGCTTCTTTTAACAAGTGTTATACTACTTTGAGCACACATTTTGCTACTTTACATTTGTAGTTATCATTTTGTTACTCTTATCTTTAAGCTAGTGTTTTTCTATCATCTTCTTCAGCAAATCTTAATAATTCAGCGTTCACTCTGCGTTCTCACTGAAAATGCAGTTTCTTCATTTTTATCAGTATTTTGCATCCAAACAGGCAGAGCTTGTAATGTTTTAGTTGTCTTGAATTAATTTATTGCTGTTTAATCAGCAGTACAACATATTTAAGTGCTTATTTACCTGACACTCTGCTTATACTACTGAACTGTAAATAGTCTGCAATTCTCAATGTTCCAACACACACTGAACTTTATTATTGATTTTGTTAATTTTATTTCTTTATCTATTGTTTTTAACATTTTAGGAACTTTCTGTCTGTGTGAATCTTTTTATCTGTTGCTGCTGTTACACTTGCATTTCCCATCTGCGGGACAATAAAGGCTGTTTCTATTCTTCCTATTCCATTCTAAAATGATGTCAGCCAAAACACACAACCTATGACAGAACACATAAAACATGTGAAGAAAATGATTAAAACATCAGTTTAAAAAACAGCAATATATGTGAATATTTAGTTTGACACCGATCTAAATTGTATATTTCTTCTTCTTTCGGCTGCTCCCTTCTTTAGAGGTCGCCACAGTAAATTAACTCGCATGGTTTGTTTTTACACCGACTGCCTTTCCTGACGACACCACAGACCATTGAGCTACCACAGAGAGCTGTTGGGTGCCCAGGGCAGCAGATGATGGGGGTTAAGGGCCTTGCTCAGGGGCCCAGAGTGGGGCAAATGAGGGTGGAGACAGATGTGGGTGTTTCACCTTTGCCACCCACATTTTGATGTCGGTTCGAGGAGTCAAACTGGCAACTTTCCAATCACAGGCTCACTTTCTCTAACCTCTGCGCCACCACTCCCCCAGAGTCTAAATTGAAAATATGGATCTAAAACATTAACAGATCTAAAACATGTAGATCAGTAAACCGCTCATAGATCTGATGACTCCTGAATCACCTCCGAGGGCCGAGGGACAATCAGTCCTGGATGTGTCCCGTCTGCTCCTGGGCCTCTTGAGAGATTCTGCCTGCAGTCCAAACCTCTCAACATCCAAACACACATGGAGCATCATGAAATAAATAAAATGAAATAAAATAAAAAAAACTCCTGGAAAGATAAAATCAGGACGACAGTCTCCTTCAAAAAGCTCCAGCTCTGCTCAGACTTTTTTGCTGTTATAAGGAGGGGATACTTCTCTGAGGTCACCCTGGTTCAGGCATGGCACTCACTGCTCCAGTCGATACGTTTACTTTGATGCACTGTGGATCAAACTTTGAACATCTGTAAAGCTTTACATTCTGCTTTTAGTCACATTTTACACAACATCCCACCTTTATTTTGGGGGGATTGAAGTTCTACATTGGGATCCATTGTGTAATTTTCTACTTTATTCCCAAAACACTCATCTTGACGAGTGACGCCTTGTAAAAAAAGTATTTTATTTTTATTTCTTTTTAAAGGAATCCTGCAGGGGATTAGCACACAGCTGTGATAGACTCTTATCTGAAACAAACCCAAGCACGAGCATCAAGACGACTCGCTTTTTGAATCAAGACGACTCGCATGTTTGATGTCAGCCATTCAAAAGATTAAGGGTGAATTACACACCTTGTAAATTCTAGGGGGGGGGGGGGGGGCTTCAAGGGAGAACAAATGGAGGTGAGCAAAGCAGGGGGGTCTCATGCACTTCAAAGCCTGATGAGGGATAAGAGGATGAGGATGTTCCTGCTCTGAACCAACCAGCTTCATTCTTTCACAACAATGGAGGAGCTTCCACAGCCATCACCTCCATCTAACACACAGTTATTACTTTCTTCTGTCTGTTTGGTCCTCACTTTTTCTTTTTTGTTTAATTCATTGCATTTGAAAAGTTCAATAGATTTTGTTTTTCTTGTTTGAAGTTGTTGTTTTATCGTCTTTAATACAAATGCTCCTGAAATGAAGCGCACGATTTGGGAAGACTTAAATCTGGAACCAAACAGGTGGCGGAGCAAAAATAGAAAGAGTAGAAAAATATTAACGAAAAATCAAATAAATAGAAGAAAAACAGTTGCATGACAAAAATGTGTTGCTAAATATGAAATAAAAATGCCACCAACAATAAAAATCACTTTAATTTATTCAAATTCAATTTATTTCTATAGCACATAAAAACAACAAAAGCTGACCAAAGTGCGTTACAGTTCAGTCAAATTAAAATGAAGTAATAAGAACAAGAAACAAATACATCTTGTACCACTCAGGAAGAACAAGAAGGCTGAAAAACAACAGCAATAAAAATCAGCTCTTGTTCTCAGACTCTGCATGGATCAAACCTGAAGGAAAAAAGAAGAGTTTTGAGCAAAGATTTAAAAGTCTCAACAGCCTGAGCAGTCTTTAAATGATCAGGTGAACTGTTGCGCAGTTTTGGAGCAGCAACCGCAAAAGCCAGATCACCTCTGGACTTCAGTCAGGAACTGGGGACTTCTAAAGATGAACTGTTGGTAGACCAGAGTGCTCTTATTGGAGTGTAGATGTTAAGAAGATCTCATACCGACAAATAAGATGGGGCCAGACCTTTTAAGACGTTAAAAACCAGCAATAAAATCTTAAAATCAATCCTGAAGTGAACAGGAAGCCAGTGTAGAGAAGCCAGGACAGGAGTTATGTGATCGTGTTTTTAGTTGCTGTTAAAAGACGAGCTGATGCATTCTGGATGGTATGTAAGCAATGTAGAGATGATTTATCTAAACCAACATACAAAGCATTACAGTAGTCCAAACAAGAGCTAATAAAAGCATTAATCACCTTTTCAATGTCTCTGAAAGGGAGACGAGACTTCCCCTTGACAATGAGTCTTAGTTGGAAGAAATTGGATTTCACAACAGCATTTATTCGTTTGTCTAATTTAAAAGTACTATCGAAAATAACTCCCAGGTTTCTGACAGTGGACTGGCTGTATGAAGCCAAGGGGCTAAGAGTGTCAAGGGTGTTACATTTACCAAAGCAGATGACTTCAGTTTAATTTTCATTTAAATTCAGAAAATCTTGTTTTAACCAGACTATGGTTCCAGTGGAGTAACCCTGTTTGACTTAATGGGCAAAATCAACTGAATGTCACCAGCAAAGCAATGAAAAGGGATGTTATGTTTTCTAAAAATGGACCCCAAAGGCAACATGTACAGATTAAAAAGCAGTGGACCTAAAATACACCCTTGAGGGACCCCAGAGATCAAAGGGACCTCAAATGATGAACATTCCCCATAAATGAACAGTGTGTGTATACAACATTGCAAACCAAAGTTGTTTATTTCTAAATTTTTCAGAGCCCATAACATTGGTATCATCTGGAAAACTTGCTGAAAATTTAAGTTGTGCATTTAAGAAAAAAAATCAGGATTAATTAGGAGTTAAAAAAAAACAAAAACTGAAGGACCTATCCATCCATCCATCCATTATCTTTACCCGTGTATTCCATTTTGGGTCACGGGGGTCACTGGTGCCCATGTCCAGCAATCACTGTGCGAGGGGCGGGGTACGCCCTGGACGGGTCGCAAGTCCATCACAGGGACACATAGAGACAAACGAGACAAACAACCATTCACTCTCTCACTCACACCTAGGGACAATTTAGAGTTACCAATCAGTCTAACATGCATGTTTTTGGTCTGTGGGAGGAAACCGGAGCACCCGGAGAAAACCCACGCATTCACGGAGAGAACATGCAAACTCCACCCAGAAAGGCCCCTAGACAGGGGTTTGAACCAAGGACCTGCTCGCTGAGAGGCAGCAGCTCTACCAGTTGCGCCACCGTGCTGCCCCTGAAGGACCTAATGTCCTTAAATGTCCCCATAATGCAAGAATGGGGACAGTAATCTAAACAAACAGACAACTGGTGACAGAATAAACATGTTTATAAAGAAGGCAGGCTGGTTGATCCTGAAGGGAATGCAGACCGTCGGCTACAGTCTAGGTTTGAAATGAGATCATTTTGTGATGGGAAGGGACGGAGTTCAAGTGGTTATTATTGACAACATGATCAATCAGATCTCAT